TTGAAGGTGTCGCCCTCGTCGTTGCAGGTTCCCCCGTTCTTGCAGGTTGCTGCATCACACTGACTTTCACCTGAAAGGGGGGTGTAAGTCACATGACGGTCACATGACCGGCCTGCAGCGTACACCTCCATGTGCACACACACGCACGGTGGCACTCACGTGAGTGACAGGTCTTCCCTTTCCAGCCGTTTCTGCACTCGCAGTAGAAGTCGTTCACCAGGTCCCTGCACGTCCCCCTGTTGTGACACGGCTTCACTCGGCAGTCGTCGATATCTGATAGGGTGGCGGTAAACAAATGATGGTGATTGGTTGTTTGCATTTAGGCTCTGCCCCCCACTGCGTTCGACTGGTTGGGAAACACTCACTGATCTCGCACTGGCGGCCCTCCCAGCCGTCGCTGCAGATGCACTGGTAGCCACTGACCTTGTCGATGCACGTGCCCCCATTGCGACACGGGTTGCTCTCGCAGTCGTTGATGTCTGCAGACAGAAGGGGGGAGGGGAGGTGAGATAGATGTGACGGGGGCTGGATGCATGCCCAGATATGTACGGGTTCCCCCTCCCAGAAAAGTGCTTCCTTTACTCCTATGAAAAACGACATGCTTCTCTTACGCCACTGAGGCAATAAGGTGAGTCAGCACCCTGCTTGGGTGTAACCACGTAGTGGCAAGTTTAAAGGTTCAACAAAACAAAATTATCCAAAGGTACAACAGAGATTTCCCCCGACCCTTAGATCCTTACTCTCATGGCAGTAGGTGCCAGTGAAGCCCTCCTGGCACTCGCAGCTGAACTGGCCCCCAGGCTGGCTGCGGCAGCGGCCGTGGGGGCCGCACACGTTGGAGGAGATGTAGCGCACCCCATCCGGGGTGCTGTTGGAGGGCACTGCAACCGTGCAGCTGTCAATCACTGGGGGGAGGGGGAGGCAGGGGCAGTGTTACGGCGCAGGTGAGACAAGTGGACATCTGCAGAACCTAATATATGTCAAGCAGTGGTGGCCGAATATGGGATGTGACCTCCAACCGTCTGTAGTTTGCCTAAATTCTTCTACTGCACTTTTAATGATTTTCTTATTTAAAAAAATGAGCCTACAATAGGTTTTTCTTCTTGTGTAATTGTTGGAGAAGGTGGGGGGGGGGCATGGCCCCCGCCAAGCAGAGGGCGGCCCTGGCACGATCTGTGGCTCTGTGGCCACTTTGACCTCTGGCCACTGCAGAGCAGCGCAGTGAAGGAAAAACCGCAGTGATTAATCAGGGGAACACACACTGCGCGGGCTTTAGGCTGGGGGGTGGGGTGGGGGGGGACATGAAACGAATGCCGCTGCTAACGAGCCCCCAGAGTGGCTGGGGAGGGGGTGCACAAATTGGGCTACAGAGATGCAGGAAGAACGTCTCACCCTGGCAGGACGTGGTACGACAGTGGTCCTTCAGATGGGAGCAGTTCTTGCCCTCGTAGTCCTCGGGGCACTTGCAGAAGTAATCCGAGGCGAGGTTGAAGCACTGAGCGCCGCTCTGGCAGGGGTTTGGCTCGCAGTAATCTATATCAAGCTGGGGAAGAACGGGACGATTCAGAGCAGATAGACGCGGAACATGGAAATGGGTGGTCCTGTAGGGGGCGACAGAGAGCGGATTTGAGCGGGGCTCACCAGGCACAGGTTGCCAGAGAAGCCAGCTGGGCAGAGGCACTGGAAGCCGCCGACGTCGTCCCGGCAACGGCCGCCGTTGAGGCAGGGGGCGCTGGCGCACTCGTCAATGTCCACCTCGCAGTGCTCCCCGGTGTAGCCCGCTGGACAGATGCAGCGGTAGCCATTAACCAGGTCCTGGGGGGGGGACAAGACGACGGATGGGAGGGTGCGGGACTGCAGGGGAGGGGGGTGAATGCTGCCGCGTGACGTCAGGATACTGAAAGGTCGGGGGGGGGGGTGAAAAAAAAGGGCGCGACTGCAAAATAATTAGCAAAGATTTTCCTGGCAGGAGCCCAGGACAGGACTGTATTGTTGTGACTTCATCCCTTGCAGTTAAGCCCCCCCCCCCTTGCCCATTTTTTCCATGCCTGCTCGTTTCTCATTTATACAGGCTTCTAATGGGACGGGAGGGGGGTAAAATCTCTGCTTCACACTCATTAGATCATGTAAGATATGTTTGTGTTTGCTATTTTGAAATTGCTCGTTAACGATGGATTCAGGAGGGGCAGGGCTAAGATGGTGCAGGGCTGGTAGGGGGGGG